ACACGTTTTATTCGCGTAAATTTATTCATTGCAATATTCACGTAAATTCTCTAAATCTGTTCCCAGTCACACCGATCAGCAGCCCTGGCTGCGAGTACCAATTTGGCCTCTATCCAGCCAGCGACGCTTGCAGCACCACTTACATCAAATGCATCCACGGACACCCGCAGGAGGAGCACTGCGACGCGGGATTAGCTTACGACGCGAAGAGTCACAACTGCGTCTGGCCAGATCAACTGTTACCCTACTGCAACCCGGAGGAGATCGTCGGCTTCAAGTGCCCTCACAAAGTACCCTCTCACAGCGCGGCTGCCAAATACTGGCCCTATCCGAGGTCGGTTCTCTTCAGGATCATTATCTCGTCGACGTTACATTATTTGCAAATTTATTGGATTAATAATTTATTCCATAGCTGATACACAAGTTTCATAAACACGAGCAATCCTTAAATTACGTGGGCAAATGCACGGTCCACGCGCACAGTGTGAATCAATGCAAGCACCAAGATTGTCGAATTGACTTTTTTTCCATTACTTTGTTGAATTTTTGTTATTGTTATTTATTATTTTAATATAATATATTATTTTATATAACATATTAATATAACATATATATATATATTATTTTAATATAATATAATATTGAATATAATATATTATTAATATAATATTGAATATAATATATTAAATATTAGTAATATTATATATATTAAATATTATTAATATAATATATTATATATTATTAATATAATAATATTAATATAATATTGAATATAATACATTATTTTAATAGTAATATGTTATAAAATAGTATACTAAATTATTTTAATATAATATATTATTTTATATAATGTATTAATATAACATATATATATTATTTTAATATAATATATTATTAGTATAATAATATTAATATAATATTGAATATAACATATTAAATATTATTAATATTATTAATATAATATATTATATATTATTAATATAACATTAACATAATATTTTATTTTAATAGTAATATGTTATAAAAAAAGTATACTAAATTATTTTAATATAATATATTATTTTAATCCTTCGAAGCGTGTGTCATTTCAGCAACGGATCCCGATTGGTAAGAACTTGAGCTATCTAATGTATTTAAAGTCGTGAGATATTTCTAAATGCTTTCTTCTTTGAAGGACGACGTCACTGTCACTGGGAGAAGGATGCTTCATTCAGGACTTCCTTTGAAGCGTTATTTATTTCAGCAACGGATCGTGATTAATAAGAAATTAAACTACCGATACCAAGTCAAGAGACTTGGAGAAACAGATATTTTTAGGATCCTTTTTCTCCCTCGAAGATACCCCGTGTTAAATCGTTCGCTTGAAAGCAAAAGGAACCAAAGTTCTTAAGTATGAACAGACATCCGTGGTTTATCTTCCAGCGTGCAAATTAAGAACCGGTCCTCCTTCTGCTTTCGAGGGGAGAAAATGAAGGACCCCACTATCGAGAGGTGACACGTATTTCATTTTCGGGTTTTATCCCGTTGAGAGAATGTACTGTCGTCACGTTTCCTCTCTTGTCGCGGTATAAAAAAAAAAAAAAAAA